TAGATAATTGCATTAATGAGAAATTGAACAGGTGTTACTAATAATCCTTTAGGTGAGTGTATATAAGCAATTACACCTGGGCTCTTAACAGGTTTTGCTTTTTTAAGACTTGAAGAAAGTCAAGTATTAAGTGTTGCGTTTGGTTGCTGCTCTCAAAGGTTTGAATAAATGGGATTGTTCAGTGAATCCTGGACGTCGGGGGCCGGTGTGTTGACGGATCCAAAAGAGGTACAGAGGATTGTTTCTGAAAAATAAAATAAAAATGACACTCATCTTCCAGCAAGAACAATTTTGATAATTTCTTTGCCAAATTTAAATTTGATCCTAGAGTAGTAGGTATATTATAGGTATAATTCATTATACATTACATATACAAGAAAGAATAAAAACTTACTGAATTTCTTATACAGCAGAAAAACAAGGAAAATGATCATCACACCAAATATTCCACAAAGTATAGGAACAGCCATTCTAGCTGCAATGAAATAGTATAAGCATTAATGTGTAGAATAAAAAATCAAATTGAATTGTACAGAAAATCAAAATGAAAAATCAATATTAATGTAATAATAATATTTATGTTTATTGCATAACTTTATATACAGTATGTGTCTTGGTGATATGATAGTAATCCAATGAGCACCTGTTTTGTGTTCTTTACACTGAAATGTGTAGTTGAGGGGCAGGTCCAGAGAGGAGTGATTGACCCAGCAGGAACAGAGCACATCCTCAGCATGCGCTGCTGTCAGAGACAAGTAGGAGTCGAGGGTGTAGGAGCCGTCTGGGTTGACTGTGCTGCGTCTGTCAGGGGTCACGTTCAGTGGGAGTCCGTCCCGGAGCCAAACCTGCTCTATGCTCTCTGGGTAAAAGTCCTGAACAGAGCAGAGCAGCGCCGAGTCCCCGCTGGGCCCATCCACCCAGGACACGGACACCGTGGGACGAGCTGCACCCACAGAACAGAGGGACAGTGTGACGGCGTGAGAGGGAGTCTGTGGATTTTATAAGCAATATGTCACTCACAGTATATCTCAGTATTAATATGAGAGATACCCACAGAACAGAGGGACAGTGTGATGGGCGTGAGAGGGAGTCTATGGATTTTATAAGCAATATAATTACTTTAGCAGTCAGCTGGGTGTATGAGGACAGAACAGTGACATTTTCCTGAAGAGGGTCATGCAAACACAGCTGAAGCTTTCTTCACATGTGTGTCTCTCACTTCACACGCTAATCACACATGTGTATTTCTCCATTAAGTGCCCAGTTGTAAGGTGACCTTGGGTTTTAGAAAGGCGCCCACAAATAAAATGCATTATTATTATTATTATAGTTCAGCACATTTTGGTTGAATGTAACATAATAACAGATTATTGCTTATTATTGTGTGCGACCATAATCATTTACTATTGTTAACAAAGACTGGTCATGCAGCATCTGAAAAGACATAATTACCTTCAACTAGAAGATCCACCAAACAGAATTTCTCCTCGGTTGGTGGGGGAATGACTTTTGTCACAGAGCAGTTGTAGACACCAGAGTCACTGAAGCTGACATTTGTTAAGTAAAGTTGCAGAGGTCGTCCTTCGATCACATAACGGGATCCACAGTTGCTGTTAGTCATGGTATTGTTTGACACACGGTAATAACAGAGGGCTGTAGAGGTTCCATTCTTCCTCCAGTTGACAGTATATGTTTTATTAAGACTGTCCTCAGATACATTGCAGTGTAGAGGGATCTTCTGCCCTTTGTTTGCTTTGATGGTGATGATGCCCTCAGCATCTGTGTGAATAAAGAGAATTGCAGCTGTTTGAAATATGATACGGAAGATTTATATACAGAACAGTGACCATGCAGAAGTAATCATTTAAAGCTCAATACAGTCAAGATTAAGGAAAGATTTTAAAAAATCAGCAGAAGTATCAGACAACCCTGGTGTAGCTCTACAGTTATGACTCCGAAATCCAACAGGCTTCTGGGATCTTTTTGCTCTGATAAGTTTCCTCAGTTCATTTTCAGTGTTTTTTTTCCTATGAGTTTGATTGTCACACTTAATGTAATATGTAAGTTCTCTATCGCTGTACATCAAAAAATAATTTGCCATTAAAGAAGTATGGGAAAGAACTTGTTAACAGATTACAGTCCTAAGATGTAAGAATGAGACAGTAATTGAGAGCTAGGATGTAGATTAAAAACTAGTTCACTGTTTGATTAAGTGGATACACTTAGTTTTTTTTCTATCAAGTTGAATGTCTCACTTCCTGTAATATGTAAGTTCTTTATCTCTGTACATGAAAAACAACTTGCTATAAAATAATTATAGGAATATAACTGTAAACAACTTGCTAACAGGACTAAATACATTCCTAACATATAAGAATGAGCCAATAATACAGACACAGTAATGGAGCTCTAGGAAGCAGATTATATACTAGTTCACTGTTCGATTAAGTGGATACACTACAAATCAAAATTTATCATGGGAACAATACAGCACAAAAATTACCTGTTAACATGATGAGGAACGCGAGAAAGATGTGGATGAAGCAGGTCTGTGTAAATCCCATTGTAATAACACACCCTGCACGAACTCTAGTCTTTAGAAACAACTGACGAACTCTAGTCTTTAGAAACAACTTCCTATGAATGAAACTAAATGTCCACAGGACCAAATTAACACCAAATTGTAAAAAAACTTATTTACATAAGAACATATGAAATTTACAAATGAGAGGAGGCTATTCCACCGATTTCCTTCCTTCTGCACAGAACAGGAAGGTATGTGAGGATTCCACTCTGAGCTCCTGTAATATTTCTGCGTGAGGGTATCGACAGCACTGAGCCTTTGGCTTCAGGGGGTGTAATTACAAGGGGGCTGAAGCTTTGAGCTGCTCTTTTTCACAGGTTTCTATTCTTTCTACAACATGAAAAGCACAGTATCTTATAGGTCCCTTTAGATAATAACCCACAGAAACACATACAAACATATCCTTGCAGAATCTGGAAGTGGGATGAAAATATAAAAAGAATGTAATAGTAACAAACTGAAGTAAAACGCATGTATATGTATTTCTGAAGGCTGTAGCGTGGAGCCAAAAACACTATATATATATATATATATGTGTATATATATATATATATATATATATATATATATAGAGAGAGAGAGAGAGAGGCAAATTTAGGATTAAATGGCTACATCATTCAGAGGCTTATTTTAAATGAATAGCATAGCAAAGCACTGTGCACTGTGGTCTCACACATCTTGGACTGTGACCTCACTTCCTGTTCCCAGTTCCGTGCACATCTCAGTGTGCATGTGGGTTTTCCTCTTATAGTTTACATGAATTGGTATCTCTACACTTCCCTTATAATGAGAGTGACTGTCTTGACTTGTATCCCATCCAGGAACTTGATGATTTGTTATTATTACTATTTATATCATATGATGAGCAGGCCATGTTATTGGGGAGGGGGGGGGGCACACTCTGTGCTGGTTTCAAAACCATCTGCAGTGTGTTAGAACCACAACTAAGCTGCAGACATTCAAGGCTGTGTGCCCACCTCCCCCAGGTGGGCTGTAGACAGCACCAAAGAAAAGAAAATAACAAAAGTGCAAGAAACTTTATTCTATAGAGCAGGGTTCTTCAAATCTGGATCTCGATTCCAAATCCAGGCCTTGTTTTCAGTTCTCCCAGGTAGTTAGATGCTATAGAGTTTTATATTCTTTTAGTAAATCAATTGACTTTTGGAAAACAAAAACAACACCAGACTACACTACCCGGGTTACCCAAATATAAAACACAGAAGTGGTTCCTGCTAGTCTAGTGTGGCTAAACAACTAACTTCTGTCAATGGACAGTTAAGGACAATTATATCCTGAACAGGTATAGATAACCAGTGAGCTTTCTGGAGCAGAAGCTGTGATCAAGCAGGTCAAACTAAATACATGTGCGCACAGAAAATCATAGAGCACAGAGCAGCAAGGCAAGGGGGGGCTGTAGGTCTCTATAGTTGGTTAATAGCCTCCTGGAGGCGGGGCCAGTTACAATTAACCAATCGATGTCCTTGGTGGTCAGGATGCAGGTGGGCAGGAGCTTCCAAGGAGCAGAATTCTGTAATAAAAGCCACATATACCCGTACCTCACTTACCTAACCAAGGTCCATAACATAGCACATGTGGAGATACACAGAACTGAGCTATTGTACTACCTGACAAACCATAAGGTCAGGAAGGAGAGTAGATGTTTTGAACCACTTGGTCAAGGTGCCCCAATTAGTCTCACTGATTATGCCTAAACCTCCTTTTCCTGAAGTCAACTGTTAGCAGACGTGTGTTGGACAACTGAAAACATCTGGATGTTCTTTTCCAGGGACACTAATCTCCCAAATGACACCCCCCCCCACCACACACGCAAGTACCTGACAATTAAGGTGCCATTTTGATTTTATTGATTCCTGACTTCACATGTGTTCCTAAGGAGCAGTGGCGCTACATTGTGTTTCTCAGTTGTTTCACAAAACAAAAGGGAACAAGAATGTACATGAACAGACATTGAAATACCCAAGTTGATGGTTTGGTCGCCGTTGTTAATGGAATCCATCACTTCAGATGCCAAAAAATCTGACAAAATGAACAGCAAAGCACAAAAGGGCCTTAACCACTTGTTCAGGGCTCTCCATTCCAACAGGGTCTCCCTCACCATCCAAAGCCATAAGCTGTAGGTGTTAAGCTGGGAGCAGCACAGGTCAGGACCACTTCCTGACTGGAGACTGTGGCCTTCTCACATTTCCGGTCCTTCTGGCCCAACCTTCCGGAAGCAACTCTGCTCACAGGAGGCTGGTAGCTCATAAACATATTTTATATGTTTCTTTGCCTTCCTGTGAGAAGGATGGTGAAATTATCACTTCTGTGGAATTTGCTGGAAAACAGCAGCTGTTCCTGTATTGGTCACTGTTTTCTGTGCTTTGTGAAAATTAACCAAAATCAAGGCCTGCATTCAAGTAACAAAATTAACATATAAAATTAAATATTTAATGGTGGTAAAACTGTACAACATCTGCCTGTTTTGTTGTGACACCTGCCATTACACCTACAGGAAATTTTATGACACCTCATTCTAAATCCATAGGTATCAATATAGAGCTGGTCCCCCCTTTGCAGCTATAACAGCCGCCACTCTCTTCTGGGAAGGTTTTCCAAAAAGATTTCAGAGTGTGTCTGTGGGAATTTTTGCCCATTCATCCAGAAAAGCTTTTGTGAGGTCAGGCACCGATGTTGGACGTGAAGGCCTGGCTCGCAATCTTCATCCTAGTTCATCCCAAAGGTGTTTGATGAGGATGAGGTTCTGTGCAGGCTAGTCAAGTTTTTCAACACCAGATTCAGCCAACCATGTCTTTATGGACCTTACTTTCTGCACTGTGGCACAATCATGCTGGAACAGAGAAGGGCCTTCCCCAAGCTTTCCCACCAATTTTGAAGCATGGAATTGTCCCAAATATCTTGGTGTGCTGAATCATTAAGATTTCCCTTCACCCCTAAAAAACAACCCCATACCATTATCCCTCCTCCACTAAACTTTAGAGTTGGCACAATGCATTCAGGCAGGTAACGTTCTCCTGGCATCTGCCAAACCCAGACTTGTCCATCAGACCGCTAGACAGAGAAGTGTGATTTGTTCACTGGCGGCTTGGCACTGCACTTGGGCATGTGAGGCTTGCATGCAGCTGCTCGACCACAGAACCACCCAGTGCACGCTTTTTGTGCTGGGGTTAATGCCAGAGGACATTTTGCAGTTAGTGAGTCAACAGAGCATCAGGGACTTTTATAAATTATGCACCTCAGCACTCAGCAACCTCACTCGATCTGTTTCTATATATGGTCTCCCACTTTGTCGCTGAGTTTCTGTTGTTCCTAAATGCTTCCACTTCATAATAATACCACATGCAGTTGACTGTGGAATATCTAGCAGGGGAGAAATTGCACAAAATGACTTATTGCAAAAGTTGCATCCTATGATAGTAACGTGCTTGAATTTGCTGAACTCATCAGAACGACTCATTCTTTCACAAATGTTTGTCAACCTGACCAGCTAGGTGCTTGATTTTATGGGTCTAAATGAAACACTTAAATTCAATGATCAAAAGATGTCCCACAATACTTTTGCCCGTATAGTGTATAAGGCTGTGTGATGAGCCCTTTCCTCTACTCCCTCTTCACCCACGACTGCAGACCTGCCAATGGTTCCAACACCATCATTAAGTTTGCAGATGACACCACGGTGATTGGCCTCATCAATGATAACGGTGAGGCCGCCTACTTGGAGGAGGTGGGTCGTCTGGCTGAGTGGTGCGACACCAATAACCTGCTGCTTAACACCGAGAAGACCAAGGAGCTCATCGTGGACTACAGGAGGAATGCTGACCCACATCCACCCATCTACATTAAAGGGGCGGCTGTGGAGCGTGTGAGCACCTTCAAGTTCCCGGGTGTCCACATCTCCGAGGATCTCATTTGGACGATCAACTGCTCCAAGCTGGTCAAGAAGGCTCACCAGTGCCTCTTCTTCTTGAGGACTCTGAGGAAGAACCACCTGTCCTCAGATATCCTGGTGAACTTCTACCGCTGCACCATCGAGAGCATCCTGACCGACTGTATAATAGTCTGGTATGGGAACTGCTCTGCCTCGGACCGGAAGGCGTTGCAGAGGGTCGTGAAAACTGCCCAGCGCATCGGCGGAGCACCACTTCCTGCCATAAACGACATCTACAGGAAGCGGTGTCTGAATAGGGCTGGGAAAATCATCAAAGACTCCAGTCATCCAGCACATGGACTTTTCACCCTCCTGTCCTCTGGGAGGCGCTACAGGAGTCTCCAGACTAAGTCACCCGGTACCGGAACAGCTTCTTCCCTACAGCTGTCAGACTCCTGAACTCTGCCTCCTGACCTAACTGCACTACTGTAAATGCTGTATAAACAATCATTTTTGTACAATACGGAAATTATAATTCTACAACTGTTTATAACTTGTATTATAGTTATAGCATATTCATAACATACCTTTATACCGTGTACATTGTAACATACCCGTAATAGACTCATATTTTTGTACCCTAATATCTATAATAGACCCATTTTTGAAATATATTTATATATCTATATTATTGCTAATATATATTTTGCAAATATTATGGCTAAAGCACTTTCTGGATGGATGCAAACTGCATTTCGTTGCCAGGTACTTGTGACATGTGCAATGACAATAAAGTTGAATTCTATTCTATTCTATTCTATTCTATTCTATTCTATTCTATTCAGTGGCTACTTTGTAAGATGCATCTAGCTAGTTTCAGAGAAACCACTTTTTTTTGTTCACTGTAAACTCCAGACAATGTATTGTGTGAAAATCCCAAGAAGGATGGCTGTTAATGAGATGCTGGAGCATCTGATACCAACAGTCAAACCACATTCAGAATAATTAAATCAGGGTTCTTAGCTGCTTTAGTCGTTAACCAAATAGTAACAATACCTCAGTTTGACCCAGTTTGTGTGCTGCATGTATGTTGTAAGGTATGTTGCACCCTAATGATTTGCTATTTCGCAGCAGCACACTGTTTACAGTCGCAAGCAGGTGTACCTAGTGAATGAGAAGTGTCTGGCCGCAGAACTCTGGCTAACCGGAATAACAGACTATAGTGCTGTTCACGGGACCTCAGTACTTCATTTCATTCCCTAGCATATTACCCCCATGTTCTCGGAATGACAATAAACCCCATCTGTGTGCTGTAGGTACGTATGTATGTTGCAACCAAATGATTTGCTATTTGGAATTGGCCACTGAGGTGTATTTATCAGTCCATCAACCCATCCATCTTTTTTGCATCATGTTCAGAAGCCCGGCAGTGGTGTTTACTGCCACTCAAACCATGCACTTGCCCGAGACCCCCTGGGGCCTGCATCACGAATTAAAATGTGTTAATTAGCCAGATAATTTGTCAAATTTAAGGTAGTCCAGGCTAAAAGTAATTAAGTTCATTTCAGCTGGGGTACCTTAAATCTGACAAGTTATCCGGCCAACTAACAAATCTCGCTTTAGGATACAGGCGGCTGCTAACCACAATATATTTAGTTTTAGAAACATCTGCGGGGCGGGGGCGGAGGGGGAGGTGACATTTTGGCTGGGGCCCCAGAAAGAACAATGCTGTTCCCACAGAAACTGGGTGAAATGCTAAGCTTACCACCCAGTCACATGACAAGACAAGACTGACCCAGATCATTTGCGTCATTTCCTCGTCATAGTGGAAGTCCACCTGGGTCCATGTAAAGTGCTATCATGAGGCAGGGATGAGCTGGAGTGATACAAAGTATCAATCACTATATTTCAGAAATAGCTATAGATAGTGAATCAACAGTTAATTCTCATAAATGCATTCCTCCTGTTTCACAGAGTCTGTCGTCGGTCCAGGACCACTGAAGCTGAAGTTCTCATAGATCTTGTTGCTGAAAACTGTGGTCGTGTTTTCTTGTTTTTTTCTCTTCCGATCTGGAGGAAGCAATCATTTGAACAATCAATTCATACATGAGAACAACAGACTCATTGCAGTTCTGTTGATTATTAATCAATTGCACCAAAAATGAGTATTCCAAGATATTTGCACAGTATGTTATATATTTATATATATATTTAGATTTACATTTTATTTATTTAGCAGCGGGTTTAGGGTCTATGGTGAAGCCGCTCTACTGCAGAGACTAGGGGTGCAACCGAGTACAAAAGCCACAAGATATAAATGCCCATTCTGTCTAAAACAACAGAATGATGCAAGTACATCCTTGCAAAGAGCAATGACCTTTTAATTCTTAAGAATATTCAGACATTGGCATTGGAATATCAAAAATCTAAACATGCTAAATAAAAAATATATATAATAAAAATAAAACTACACAACCAAAAAAAAAGGTGAAATGGACTCTCAGACTCTTAAAAATTGGATTATATATTAAACATTTGGCACAGGGGCGTAGAGAGTCATTTGTTCCTTTACTGGTAATATACTGCCAAACCAGCTGGAGTTTCCACTCAGTGATGCAATTGAACCTCCATCATTCATTGGCCAGGGGAAACGTAACAAGAAGTCAGAAAGAAGTGGGACCAAAGACTGCATAAGAACAAGAATTTGATGGATTTGAAGAATGGTTGACCGAGAAAGAGAATGACCACAATCAAAACAGGATACATCCTTTTATTTATATTTTATTCATATGACCCACATCATTATTAAATCTGACTGGCAGATCGATCTTTTGGTTTCACAGAATACAAAACAGTGTAAGAAATTCCTTTAAGAAGCACTGCAAGTTTCACCTGCAGCATTAGCAAAATTAGACAGAAGTATATTGGTTATCGGTCAAATTTTTCAATGCAGAAATATGGAGATGCAAGCAAAATGTATTCATTAAATGTAACTGAAGCACAAAAATAATTCCATCTGTTCAATTTTGGTTCCACTATTAGATCTATTTTCCCTGTGTAATATCCAAGTTAGCAGTGGTGCTTGTGGTCAACCAATCAGCAAGCTGTCCTCGTAAGCACCTTCCCCAGAAGTGTGTGTGACTTCAGGGGATGCTTCCATCTAAGGCTGCATTCAAAGACCGAACAGGTCACAGTGGCACGACAACGCTGTCGCATTTTGAAGGCCCCTTCAAATGCAGCTGAAATGCCATTCAGATGCGGCCTAGAAATGCACTATTCTTTTGCTCAGATCCCAAGAAACATTGTGCAGACCTTCGAAGGACGCAGACTACAAAGGCCACATGGACCGCATCCTTTGAATGATGCAGCCTCAGAATTCGGACACAACGCTAGTCTGGAATAGAGACTAAGAGCAGATTTATATTTCTGTGTCGAGCCAACACCGTTGCAAGTATTTATACTGGTATGCTGATGGCTGTTTTCGAATTCAGGGGTTGTATAGGTCAAACAGAAAGCATCGTCAAATGGGATTGTCTGGGCTACGGATAATTTTGTATTTGTGTCACCAGCTGTTCCAGTCCCTTCCCTTGAGTCACAAAGTATCACTCCTATCGCCTAGCCAGGACACCAACTATACCTCTGCACTACGAATCTAGAGATGTGTTGGACTATGAAGGATCCATTGAGTGGCAAAAGGAGGACACATTGTGTGTGAATTCAGGGGCTGTATCCTTCTAAATCTGCATTCCAGGACCGAATGTGTCACAGCAATGCGACAAGACTGTCTCATTTCAAACGCTCCTTCAAATACAGTCTAGCCGGTAGGTATATTACCCAGTGGGCGTGCGGAATTATGGTCTCAACAGTTATTCTCGCCCTTCTGAGTTACCAGAGACTCTGGCAGTCTTCCACAGCTTCACAGAACCACGGTTACATGCATAACCAACATTCTATTTCAGTCTTTCCAGACCACTAGAGGGCAGTTGAAAGACTAGTGGAGGACGTATGCCAATGTATGTCACGAGAAAGCATACCCAGACACAGGTAGGACAGTAGGAACATGGCAACAGGTGGCGATGGAAGCGATGCCACATTTAGGCTGTAAAACCTGGTGAAGGTGCTGGGCGAAGATCATATCGCTGCAGAGCAAATCTCAGAAGAGCACTGCTTAAGATGCCATGGCCTGGGACGAGTGACCCTCAATTGAAGCAGGGGCTGGATATCACAGAGATAGTATCTGTGATCTAGTGGGAAAGGTACTGCTTGGAGAGTGGAGACTCCTTGTTCTGCCTACCAAAGCAGACAAACAACTAGTCCGAGGTAGACCAGGTTGCACTAACAGCAGCATAGTGCCATAATACCTACACAGGTTCATGTACGGCTAGCTCCAGCAGCAAAGGCTGCTAAGGAAAGGGGCCTATTACTAACCTGAGGGTTCAGGACCTTACGCAGAAACACAGGGTTAGGAGACAGAGTGACAGAACTGTCCTCAGGGCCCCAACGCATGCACTGAGGACTGACAGACAAGGCATGGAGTTTACCTTTTCATTGGCTGTAACCTCTGCCAAGCGGGTTGGTGGTTTTAGAAGAAAGCGGACTCTATGGGTTTCCAAACAGAATCCAATAATCCCTGAAGAAACTCAAGTACCAAAGAAACAAGGCAAGACTTCAGATCCAAACACCACACAGAAATTAGTTTCCACCTGTCAGGACTAGACACCATTTGGACCTCATACTCCCTTGGAAATTTATTAAGAACACCACAGAGGTGTTGTTGGTCCAAAGCAGCACATGTTTCCTGGTCAGTACAGCTTTGACATGCTGAAATGTCAGGCAAACAACCATCAGTTCCAGCAGATTTCTGTGCTGCAAGCGCAGCTCTGGCCCCCAGGTGCCCTGCACACCATGAAGGTTCCAGACACCCTCCCCCATCCTAGAAGTGATGCATCCATTGTCACCACCTCTTTCCATGCTGGCAGGGATCCCAAGGGTACTCCCCGCTGGAGGAGACTTTTGTGACGCCGAAGCAGCAGTGCCCTGATGCAACTGTGAGAAATCCAGATATGAGCGTGCCTGTGTTGTACTGGAAACAACCGCATGGATCTCAGACGCATTGAAAGGGATGGAGATGGAGGAGGTCGAGCTGCACAAGTGATGTTGAAGCAGCCAGCAACATCACCAGGCGAAGTACAGTTAGATAAGTCAAGTGACGGCCCCTGTGGAATTGTGCCAGGGTTGTCCTGAGTGTAAGCCGTCTGGCTGGAGTAAGAGAGGCCAGCATTTATGTCGATAAACTCTGGGAGGGAAGAAGGGAGCACTTCTCTCAGTTGATAGTAAAACCTAGGGCTGTCATATGCCACACAAACTGCTGGGTCTTCGAGGCCACCTGCTGTGCAGAAGATGCAACAAGGAGCCAGTCGTCAAGGTACAGCAAGACCAACATACCCCTGTATTGTAGGGGGACTAGGGCTATCTTAACTCAACTTGTGAATACACGTGCAGCTAGGGAGAGACCAAATGGGAAAACAAGGCACTGGTAAAGTTGCCCTTGATAGGCAAACCGCAGGAAGCATCGGTGTTCCTGGGCAACAGGAACATGAAAATATGCGTCCTGCAGGTCGATCAAGATGAACCATGCACTCAGCATGATTGCCTGAGTGCATTCCCTTGTGCAGAGCACCCAGAATGGCAGGTACTTGAGATACTGGTTCTGTCCTCTCAGATCGAGAATGGGCCTGAAGCTGCTGTCCTTCTTCCTGACAAGGAAGTAGGTGGAGCCACAGTCAGCTGAGCCTGTTGGTCCACGCATTCTATCGCACCCTTTTGTAAGAGCTTGAGAAGTTCCAGCTGAAGAGTCTGTATTTGACCTGGGTTGCGGACCAGTGTGGGCTGCAGCATGGCATGTAGAGGAGGTTGACAGCTGAACTAGAGGAGATATCCCTTTGCAAGTATGTGTAAAAGCCAGTGATTCGAGGTTGGTTGAGTGGGCGGTGGTAAACTGGCTCCCCGTCTAACCCGAAGAGTCAACCCCAATGGCATTGACCAGCTGTTTTAGTGTGCTTGGAGGGGAACCGTTAGGGAGGGGCCCCATAGGCCTAAAGGGGTGGGTAACAGATTACTGCCGCTGAGCCGGGGCGTGACTCCGGCTGGTCAAGGGCTGAGGCTGAGTAAGACACAGGGTTGGGCCATGATGGGAGACAGTATGAAGCCAGGATGTGTGGTCTTGGCGCCTGGAAAGAGGGTCCCTGGTAGGGCGCCTAAATGTTGACCCATGAGAGGGTTGCGGGTCTCAGAGACAAGCACACAGCACTCAAAAGCCTCTTTTGCTGCTGGGCCAAAGGTCTGGTCCAGGACCAAGGGCAAGGTCCTCAAACTGTTCTGTAATGGGTTGGACAGCAGAGACTGGGCCAGCCATACCTGCCCCCTGGCCTGTATGAGAAAGCCCAAGGCTCGTCCACATTTGTCAGCAATGGCACCTGTATTAGGACGCACTTACGGACCACTACGTTGTCTAGAATTAATCATTGTCCTGTTACTGTCATACATATGAGGTGATTGAAGTGTGAATTAATTCTGATCGTGTATGGACTGATCATCCTGAGATTCAGATACGTCGTCCATGATTCACCTATAATATTATTGTATTAAGGTTATACTGCAAAGGCATGTTTTTTTTCCCCTCTCTTTCTGGTCACTTATATAACTTGTTTTTCACAAATGACTGGTTTCAGAGTATCCTTATCTTATGCGAAAGAATCCTTGTTTTGGAATGCTTGCTGTATCCAAGGACGCTTACCAGGTGTCCCTGGGTTTCGGAGGGGTTCACCCAGTATGTTTTGCACACCATTGGTCGGTATATGAGACACCTGCCTTGTCCTCTCTTTTGAAGAGTCTTCAGAAGAGAAGAGAAAGCTCTGCTCATTCCTATTGTGATTGAAGCTGTGCCTAGCGGCAGGAAGAGGGGAAAGCATTGCCCAAGGATACTTGTCTAACTATCTTTGATTGAAATTGCACCTAGTGGTCAGTGTGTGTAGGATGCTCACCCCATCCTCAGGAGGAGGGGGGACGCATTGATTATTGAAACTTGTCTCATCACTTCTGATTGAAGCTGCAAACTGCTTACCCGGACAAAAATTGGAAATTAGACAACACATTGCCTGAGGGGAGGGGTGAGCCTGGCCAGCTCGTCTCCTGCTCGCACGCGGTGACTAAATTTAGTATAAAAGAAGGGGGAGATCTCAGTGTTGGTTGGAGCTCAGCCGTGGGATAGAGCGCGCATCGCCCAGCACTTTCTCAGGACTCACGTGTTGGTCTCCTGCCAGGACTGAAACGGGCTCCCCAGTCTAAGAGTGAGGGTAGGTGATGACGGCACGTCCGAGTGTGAATAGCTTTGCAGTGAAAATTTTTTGATTCGATCAATTATCGCAATAACCAATTGTTTCAATTGTCACTTTTTTATACATGCTTATAATAACTTGTATTGGTGGTTTTATTATTGTTTATTATTTATAATACCATTGGATATCACTTGTGATACAGAATTATTTTGCATCGCCTTTGATCCAATATTTTGGTATTGATTTTAATGCAAGGTTATTTTGTATTACTTGTAATAAAGCGTTTTTAGAAGCGAACCCAAGTGCTCCTGTTTGCTCCTTCGAAAGCCCTACTGCATATCCCCCTCACATCATCTTAAGACAGCACCCAATGACTAGAGGGAGAGGCCCATTAAGTCATCCATTGTCACATCCGTGGCATGTGGGAGAGAGGAATGCAATGGCCAGCATTAGGTGTGCATGGGTATTAGCTATTCTTCCTAAATATGTGTAGCACTATAGGCTCTTTCCAGGATGTCATCAGTACGGCGGCACTCTACATTTAGACAGTGAAGCTGAAGCTGAGATAAAGCTGCCCTCAGCATGCTGTGAATGAAAGTTGCTGCAGGAGCTGATGCCGAGATAGAGCTCTCATTGAGCGAGCAGGGCGAGGGGTTGCATGCAGGCTGTGACTACTCCTCACTGTGTACCATGTCCACGTGGACTCAGAAGCGGCGACCGATGCAGCGTCCACATCTGACTGGGCAAGTGGACGTGTTCTGGGATGAGGCATGGAGGAGGGGCAATTATGGTGCTCCTCCTCCACAGCCTGGGAGCCTGCAGCTGGAGTAGACTGCAAAGCAGACAGCTGAGCCTGCAACTGCTCAACCCTGAAGGAGCTCTTGGAAACCTTGCGGGCTGGGCCCCTGGAGGAAGGCTTCTTCTTCGCTACCACTTTATGAGGGTCAGCCGCCTTCCATTTCCTACCGCCCACACTCACACTTGAAGGGGCAGGGGAGGGGATAATCAGAATCTAGGTCTAGCCCAGCCAAGCGGAGGCGGTGTAGCTCCAGCAGCATAATGCTGCAGGCTAGACACGGGTCAGTCAGCGCTTCCCACGAATGAGTGAGGTCCAGAAAGGTAAGGCAGCAGTCATGACCGTCTACTGCATCCATGGGGTAGAGAGAGCAGAGCCAATCACGCACAGACGCTCAACAGCATAAGTAGAGGGAGCGGAGCTGCTGTGCGCAGGCCCTCAACACTTTGATCGTAGTAGGAACGGGGTGCTAAGCGTGGGCGCTGGACAGTCGCTAGAGCGGAGCCAATCACACACGTACGCTCAGCAGTATAAAGCGGTTTTCAGACCGAACGCTGCGCTCTGTAGCCCGTTATATTCAACGGATTCCGCAGCGCAAGAATGATTCTACGCCGTGCACTACTTGAGGCCCTTGTGCCGTGGAAAAATATAAAATCTACAAAGAATACAAATAAAATAATTAAAAACAATAAAATGGTTAGCTTACCTAAAGCGTCACATCTGTTCAGCTCCGTGTGTATTGAAAGGACAGGTACATTGAGATGCGTAGTAATTTACACGACTGAACTGAATTACAAAGGCAATGAGGCGAACAATTTTACATACACAAATTACAAAAGAATGTAATTTAATGTATGTCATTTTGAAAAAAGCTGCAATCTCTATAAGGATAAAACGTCTAGTCAGGCTACTCACTGGAATCGGCAAGTCTGTTAGGCCGCCAAAGGAATCGTCAACAAGCAGGTGCTTGCGTTTTGAAAACCAAGGAAAATTATGCTGGTAAGAATTAGTGGTTATTTATCAGTAAAAAAAAACACACAGGTTTTTATTAGGGCTGTCAATCTAAATGCGTTATTCGTTGCAAATTAAAATTAACAACATCATCGCGCAGTGCATAATGGGGCAACCATATAAAGCATATAAGTGAGGGATTCTCAACCCATGCGTCACAACCTAAATTTGGGTCGCGGCAAGTTCTGAAAGGGTCACAAGGCAGAGTTGGAAATGGCAACATTTTAATACCAGCAAGCTCCTATTCTGATCCACGATCAGATTTAGAATTAATCTATATAAACGGGTCTTCGGTCTGCAACTGGTTAGCGCAAAACTATTGCTCTAAATCAATACAAGAAGTCAAGCCACAGCTGCTTAATCTAAAATTCACTGGCATATCCAATCAAATTTAATGCATTTATTACGCATTGACTGGCGTAAATTGCAGAGTGCAATGTCTGCTTGATTATAGCGTTAATTTTAATCTATATTTGATATAGGGTCACGACTGAGTTGGCATGGTAAGAATTAAGCCGTGGTGCAAAAAGGTTGAGAACCACTGATATAAATGAGAGACACTTTTTTGTACTGTTCTCATTCATGACCTACTACATTGTTTGAAATATACGTCATTTGTGATTATCCTACATTAATTTGGTGACTGATTTTACATTTAAATAAGCTTTGTAACAAGCTTTAGTCTTAGGAAGAAAAACAAGTTTTTAATTGTGGTTCATTGTAAAATGTTCGATTAATTAGTTAACTTTTTTAATCAATTGGCAGCCCTAGTTTTTATATTAACATGTTTGCTAAAACTTTAAAATGCATTAATATAAAACTGTAATTAGAATATCGGAACTACCTGTGCAGTTACATAAAAATATAGTCAAACCTCGGTTCTCGAACGAAATAATGTAAATTTGATTAATCCATCCTAGATCCCCAAATGATTGCTTATTTAAACCTACATACCTAATGTTATAACATAAATAAAAACTTTTAAACCTATAAATACATAAAATAAACAAAAAAATGATTTTGTCATTCCATACTCAGAGAGACGAACACTTTTATCAAACTTTGCAATTATTTTCCTTTTAAGCTCTATCATGGATGTCACAACTTTTATTTTTGGTTTACTGCTATCTAACCTTCTTCGGACCCATGGTGGCTTATTTAAAAACAAAGTAAGAGCAAGAAAAGCAAAAAATCACGAGAAAATTCAAAGCACAATTCGACGGAAATGTTCAAAACGCGAGTGTTAGCGGTAGGCTGACTCATACGTACGCATTTTCACCTTTGTTTATACGTAAAAAGATGTGTGCTTTGTCAGACAGGTTTTAGTGCGAAAGGGTTTGTTGGTCGAGAGCCGAATATACGTTCGACAACCGAGACATTCCTTTACCAAAGAATATGGTCGAGAACCTAGACATTCGAGCAAACGAGGTTCTCCTGTAAATAACATTCACGTGACATCTTTGGATCAATAAGAAAAAAATATTTACCTAAGCCGTGGTATAAAACTAAAATAAAAGCCTGTTTTAACCAGAGCCTGTTGCCATAGAAAACCATTAATTTGAAAGGGGATCAGCTGCAGACTGTGCAATAAGCGGAGTGTTCTGTCATCTGATGTGTAGTGGGCTAAGCCTCCATGTCTGTGATCAGAAGGTTGCTGGTTTGAGCCCGGCCTCGGTACATCAGTGGGTCCTTGAGCAAGGCCCTTAACCCCCAGCTCCCTGGGTGCTGCTATGGGCGGCTGCCCTTCATGGCCGGCTTGCTTTCATCTACAGAGCAAGTCGGCGGAAGCATGAAGAGAATTTCCCCATGGGGATCAATAAAGTATCTATTATTATTATGATGAATCAGCCGTATTTAAATGCTTCATATTCCTCAGCTTTTCTATAAATATAGACGTTTATAGAGAAATTGTCAAAAATAATCTTGTTTGCCAATTTTAGTGGTATTACGTGGAGCCACATTAACAGGAACCTGGAGGTTATTCGGAAGCAGAAGAGTGTAATGGCATTCTTGGTAGCCTGGCCCTTGCAAAATAGTGGTACTATGGAAAAGATATCAGACGAGAGCAAAGACACGCAACCCGTTTCCTCATCGCATTTGCGAAATGGCCACTGGGGCGAGGGTCATTGCACAAGCTGTCTTTCTGTCCCACTGCCATCAAAATTAGCTCAACGGAGCACAGAAAGCATTAGACGTTAAATGGAGGATCTGATGTGTTTCTACTGTCGCAGATAGAATTCAATATTGGCCCCTGTTTGGAATCAGAAGAAAATCTGGGACTCCAAACAGCAACTTACAAATACCATTTTTTAAAATTATGGGTAGGAAGATGATTATACTGAATGATAAACATCACACATAATAAAATAAAAAAATGAAGGGCATAACATTTGAGACTGTAATGAAGGAGAAACTTACATTTACAGCAACAACAGATGATCGGAAAGATGAGGATGACTCCTGCTGGCGCTGCGATGTACAATATGATGATTAATTCCTTTATGTTGGTGGAACACTCTGAAACAAAGTAACGACCACAACCTATGGTCAAGTCCCAGTAAAGACCACAATCTATGGTCAAGTCCCAAAAGCCAACTGTAGGTGGAGAATTACGTTCAGTGTTACAAACCCAGAAAGACGAAGGTGTCGCTGAAGGGTGTGTTGTTATGGCTGACATTACAGGTAAATGTGTCACAGTCGCTCCAGGCAGGTTTACACAGCTTCAGACTCTGACTTGCATTGTATTCGTTTCCAGATGTGCCCCTGGTCCAGTGGAATGTCAGCTGATTCTGGACCAGTCCTTCTGTCCTACACAGGAGCTCCATGCAGTCTTGATTACTGGTGTTCAGTTTTTCTATGACGACACCTGGACACAATGGATGGATATTTCAATTTTTTTGAATTTAGGGGAATTTCAAAAATCAGGAACAGCCTTTGAAAATGAAATGTAGCTTTATTTGCCGATTTCACAAGTACTGATGCATTCAAATGCTTTTTTTTGTGCATATCCCATCTAGTGGTCCTGTGTTTTAATACACACATATGCACAATATGGGGTCTGATCACAAGGACAGCGATTTATCTGGTGCCACTGGAGCATTTCGGAGGGTTAAGGGCCTTTGCTCAAGTGACTGTTCTGCCAAGGAGACCTCCTCATGGCCGGCACAAGCGTAACCCACACATGCTGCCCACATTTATAGCCAATAACAGACTAAATACAAGACATCCCAGCAACAAATTTTTTCCCTTTCACAAATCACAATCAGCATGAAGAATGCTATCAGATGTCATAAATGTTCTAATAAATTTTTAATGGCTGAATTATTGCTTGAGGATACTGACTATGACAGAGAGAGATGAAGCTTTGAGCCTCACTATCAGTCATTAGAAAACAGGATGCTTACTAGACCAGTCAGCACCTGAAATCGCACTGTGATCCCACTCACTGTGGGTTTTAAGGTCTCTGTGTCATCTTGGCCGTATCTAGATCATGACTCACACTCCAGTTACTAAAACGGAAAACAGAAGCACAGGGCAGAGCAGGTAGAAATTTCATAAATTAGCCAAACCCTGTGACCTTGACTAGGATAAGTGGTTAGGTGGTGAATGGATGGTGAAAATCAGTATCTCTACATTTCTGATTGCTAGTATGTGTCCTGAGACAAACTGACATCACATCTATAGGTTTTTCTCCTACCATGTGCCCTACGCTTTCTAGAATAGGCACCAGGCACAGACCACGATGCTCCACTGCAGTGTTTCCCAATCTGCTTCCTCGGGGACCTGATCCATGTTTTTGCTTCCTCCCAGTGCCCGGTAGAAGCAAAAATGTGGACTGTCTGGCAGGGAGATGGGAGGGAGCAAAAACGTGAACCATCTTTGGGTCCGCGAGGACTGGGATTAGAAACACTGCATAAGCAGCTATGGGATGGATTATTCTGTGAATAAAAACTGCATTCTTCTGTAGAGAATCCTGATATGATACCATACAAGAATGTGCTCTTGTGGTCAGTTGTGCATGAATCTCTCACATCCCATTTCATAGTGAATTAGAGTTTTGCCAACATGCATTTTCATTACCAATGAGAAATTAAGCTGTTGTGCACAAAATCATCAGAGAAAACATCTACACTGGATTACCTTGTACTGTAAGATCCACCAAACAGAATTTCTCCTCGGTTGTTGGGGGAATGAGTTTTGTCACAGAGCAGTTGTAGACACCAGAGTCACTGAAGCTGACATTCGTTAAGTAAAGTTGCAGAGGTCGTCCTTCGATCACATAACGGGATCCACAGTTGCTGTCACTCATGGTATTGTTTGACACACGGTAATAACAGAGGACTGTAGAGGTTCCATTCTTCTTCCAGTTGACAGTATATGTTTTATTAAGACTGTCCTCAGATACATTGCAGTGGAGAGGGATCTTCTGCCCTTTGTTTTCTTTGATGGTGATGATGCCCTCAGCATCTGTGTGAATAAAGAGAATCGCAGCTGTTTGAAATATTATAAAATATGATACGGAAGATTTATATACAGAACAGTGACCATGCAGAGGACATAAAGAATTATCAAAAGTTCAAAATAGTGAAGACTAACCAAAAAGTTAAAAATGGTAAAAAATAGCACACAACAGTGATGTAGCTTTACAGTTATTACTCCTAAAACCAATGGGCTGTTAGGATCTTTCTTCTCAGTTTCCTCTATTAATTTTCGTTTTTTCTTTGTTTTTTTTCTATGATTTGCAAGAATACAAATGTAGCACTTCCTTATCATGTAAGTTCTCCATTTAACACGAAACTGTATATTAAAACCAGCTTTTAAACAATTATAGGAAAACAACAGTAAACTTCTACCCAGAAAACATTCCTAGAATTTACAGAGACTTTTTCTATTTAGAATCCATATGAAAAGCTAGATCACTGCATGGTTAAGTGGATAAATGAGCACAGGAATTGGCACAAAATTAATTAACGCCTCCAGACAGAATAAAGCACAAAAGTTACCTGATGACATGAAGAAGAAGGTGAGGAAGATGTGGGCGACGCAGGTCTGTGTAAATCCCATTGTAATCTCACACCCTGAAGCAGGCAGCGCTCTAGTTTAAAAAGATACAACTTCCTGTGAAACCAGACACCCACAGGACCGACAGCCATTGGAGAAGTACATCTCTCAAACAGAGGAAGGAAAATTAAAAGCAAGTTCATAGATTTTTCTTTCGTTTTTGTACCGTAACACGATACAGGGAAGGTATGTGAGGATCTTACTCTGAGCTCTTGTAATATTTCTGCGTGACAGTATTGAGTGTAGAGAGCCTTTGGGGGGGCTTCTGGGGGTATAACTACAGGCGGGCTGACAGGCACCACCAGTGTGCCACTTTCAGTTGTTGTTTTTCACAGGTTTGCTGCTCTTTCTACAAGAAAACCACAAAAGTACCTTATTGGTCCACACTTGTCCCTTTAGATGGTAACCTATAAAATACCCACAAAGCAATTGTGTATCTGTTTCAACAGGATGTTAGTACACAAGAGATACTGGTGTTTTAATTGATCATTGCAACAAACATTTACATTAATAAAATTATATCCAGCTCATTGTTGGTGTAACTGAGAGCACATGGCAAAATAAAAACATTAAAGTAATTGACTATAGCTTTGTATTGATGTACCAATTCATGTATTTTTATTTGGCATTCATAAATTTTCTTATGATTAATCAGGGTTCAGGAAGTGTGAGCTCATGACAATGAGACAACATCTATCTCAGGCTGAGTAATCAAACCTACACGGTAATGTGTTCAAGACTTAGGCAGCTTAAGGAAATTATGTCTCAATGCACCGTAAAAGTGCGTCAGCTTTGCCATTTCGAAGCATCTCTGAAAGTCCCCCCCAGTGTTTGTGGCTTACCACCCAGTATATTCACTCATTTGTTGAACTCACCCACTATGGGGATTTAATACCTCATGAAGTTAATTTACTAATTAAGTTAACCATTTAAATAAGCTGTTGGTTACCAAATACATGGAATGGCTGGGGAGTCCCCAGGAGTGAGTTGGGCCATCCAACAACATATCTGTGACATTTGGGAGAACACTCCAATTTTGTATACTCAGGGAAACTGGGATTTTTTATGTGGAGGGGGGGGGGGCATAAGAGAGGCCAAAAATTATATAGCTAAAGAGTTGGCTTACCCTATATGCGACATAGGCGATTGCCTAGGCCGTCATTTGATTAGGGGGCGCCAAAGAACAAATCAGAAGAAATACCTCTGGCTCTATTCTGTGACATTACAGTAATTTAAACTAGTTTTCATATTTCACTGCTTTGCACCCCATACTCCTGGAGCACTCCCCACAGGATTCCCTTAGGGACACAGTTGAAGGCCTTCTCCAAGTCCACAAAGCACATGTAGACTAGTTGGGCAAACTCCCACGCACCCTCCAGGACCCTGCCGAGAGTATAGAGCTGGTCCACTGTTCCACGGGCAGGGCGAAAACCACACTGCTCCTCCTGAATCGAGGTTTGACTATCTGACGGACCCTCCTCTCCAGGACCCTTGAATAGACCTTACCAGGGAGGCTGAGGAGTGTGATCCCCCTATAGTTGGAGCACACCCTCTGGTCCCCCTTCTTGAAGAGGGGGACCACCACCCCAGTCTACCAATCCAGAGGCACCGTCCCCGATGTCCACGTGATGCTGCAGATGCGTGTCAACCAAGACAGCCCTACAACATCCAGAGCCTTGAGGAACTCCGAGCAGATCTCATCCACCCCTGGGCCCGGCCACCTACTGTAGGAGCTTTTGAACCACCTCAGCGACCTCCGCCCCAGAGATAGGTGAGGCCACCCCCAAGTCCTCATTTGAAGGTTTGTCGGTCAGATTGAGGATATCTTCAAAGTATTCCAACATCCCGAGCTGAGGTCAGCACTCAGCAGTGTCCCATTCCCACCATAAACAGTGTTGATGCTGCACCGCTTCCCGCCCTGAGCTGCTGGATGGTGGACCAGAACCTCCTCGAAGCCGTCCGGAAGTCGTTCTCCATGGCCTCGCCAAACTCCTCCCATGCCCGAGTTTTTGCCTCAGCGACCGCTGAATCTGCGTTCCGCTTAGCCTGCCGGTACTCATCAGCTGCCTGCAGAGTCCCACAGGCCAAAAAGGCCCGATAAGACTCCTTCTTCCGCTCGATGGCATGCCTCACCACCGTGTCCACCAGTAGGTTTGGGGATTGCTGCTGCAACAGGCACCGACCACCTTATGGCCACTGACCACCTTACGGCCACAGCTCCGGTCAGCCGCCTCCACAATGGAGGCGCGGAACATGGCCCATTCGGACTCTATGTCCCCCGCCTCCCCCGGGACATGGGCGAAGTTCTGCCGGAGGTAGGAGTTGAAGCTCTTTCTGACAGGGGATTCCGCCAGACGTTCCCAGCAGACCCACACTATACGCTTGGGTGTGCCAGGTCTGACCGGCTTCCTCCACCATCGGCGGAGCCAACCCACCACCAGGTGGTGATCAGTTGACAGCTCCGTCCCTCTCCTCACCCGAGTGTCCAATACGTGCGGCTGCAAGTCCGATGACACGACCACAAAGTCGGTCATTGAACTGCGGCCTAGGGTGTCCTGGTACCAAGTGCACATATGGACACCCTTATGCTTGAACGTGGTGTTCATTATGGACAATCCGTGACGAGCACAGAAATCCAACAACAAAACACCACTCGGGTTCAGATCGGGGGGGGGATTCCTCCCAATCACGCCCCTCCAGGTCTCACTGTCATTGCCCACGTGAGCATTGAAGTCCCCCAGCAGAACAAGAGAGTCCCCAGGAGGAGCGCTCTCCAACACCCCTTCCAAGGACTCCAAAAAGGGTGGGTACTCTGAACTGCTGTTTGGTGCATAAGCACAAACAACAGTCAGGACCCGTCCCCCCAACCCGAAGGCGAAGGGAGGCTACCCTCTCGTCCACCGCGGTAAAAAATATTGGAATTATTATAAAACAAAAAAGGAGTTATAAATAAATAAATTTCTCACAATTGCATTTAGGAGTGATTTAAACAGCAAGGGTGAAAATGATTATACAAAACAGCAGTGCTAAACTTTAAACTGATTTTTAAACCTATACTAGATAACTTTGAGAAGAAACAATCATTAAAATTACAATGCTTGCTAAGTTTTGTTTTTTTATGACAAAGTAAAAATGTTTTAGTGAAACTTTGCACTATAATATAATGCACTATAATGTTTATTTAAATTAAAAGTTTAAATGACATATTTATAAATAATCATTTAGATGGCAATTTAACGACTATTTAAATTGTTATTGAAATGATACCAGCATCCATTTAAATGTTCTGTCAAAGTCACCCATCAAATTCAGTGGGGCCCCCCAGCTCTAAACAAATTGGTTACATTGCAAACTAAGTCACAACAGATCAATCCTGCCTAGTCGATTGAATTAATTCATAACTGCATTTTGTCTGTCCCATCCTGGGGCAATATTATAAGATAAGATAGAGCTTTATAAGACAAGATAGCTCTTTATTGTGACTATTACAGGATTGTGAAAAACAGAACATCCTAACTTGCAGATCCTATCTTAAATATACAAATGAAACATCTTTATGGATTACAATGTATAAAACTCACATTACACCATTCAATAAAACTCTTTGTAACATGTTTTTTAATACAAATATGAACATACTATTTGCTGACAAATAGGGCAGCGTGTGGCTCAGTGGATTAAGCCTCTGTGCCTGCGATCAGAAGATTGTTGTTTCGAGCTCAGGCCTCAGCACATCTGTGAGTCTTTGCACAACACACTTAACCACCAGCTCCCTTTGCGGCCAGCTTGCTGGGGGAGGTGTAAAGAGAATTTCCATATGGGCACTAATTAAGTATCTATAATAATTATAAGTAGACTTTTTGTACTGTGGAAAATACATCAAAAGAATAAATTAAATTATTTAGAAATGATTCATCGGTATATATTGTACTCCTATAAAAAAGAAAAAAATCCACCCAATCTGGTCTCTTTCTACCATCAAGTTTAACAAACTTCCAGTGATTAGCAACAGCAAGGGATTCGTTGTGGCACCTTTGGAACCGCGCACTGTGCTCACTCAGTGCTAAATGACAAGCGATGCTGCATATTTGTGTGTTTCTCTATGCAGAGCGATCGTGGTCCTGCTGCATCTGGGCTGACAACTTCAGTCAACTGGCTGGAGTGAGATTTTCAATTCAAGACATATTTGCACGCAAATGCACATCCATTTACATGCATGCAAGAGTTATACGTCCTTGTAAATGCATCCTGTGAGGGACTGTGAGTTTCCCATAAAAATACTGACAGGAAAAATATGCATGTATGTCACTTGTAATACAGATAAATATGATCATTTATCAGATTTATCGGGGGGTTAATACAGTATTTTTGCAGGGTAGAGAACATTGTTTATTTCCAGGCAGGGTCCAAAAGTGGCACAATGGTGCATTGGTTAGAACTGTTGCCTCACACCTCTGAGATCAGGGCCAACGTCTCCATACCAGCTGTGTGTGTATGGAATTTGCATATTCTCCCCATGGGGTTGTGGGGCTTTCCTCTGCAGCCCAAAGATGCTAAGGTGAATTGGAGGTACGAAATGGTCCATAGGTGTGAACAGTGTGCATGCCCTGCAAAGGGTAGACACCCCATCCTGGATAATTTCCTGCTTTGTGCCTGTAGCTTCTGGGAGAGGCTCCAGGCCCCTGTCACCCTGAATGGGACAAGCAGGTATAGAAAACGAATGGAAGGACAGAGACGGCTTGTCCCCGCAAAAGGAGGAAGTAGTCAAAGGATGCAATACAGAAGTTTCTTATACAAAACGGTGCAGATTCAAGAACAGAATCCTATTCTGTAGATGCACAAAGACAAAATTAAGTCAATGGTGAGCATTACCTTATAGCACTGCGGTGTCAAATCTCCAGCACTGTGGGTTCAGTTCCTGCCATCAGCTCTGTGAATGAAGACTTAGCACGTTCTCACTGTGTCTGTGTGGGTTTCCTCCTCCAGTCCAGAGTTGTGCAGCTTATCGGAGCCTCTAAATCGCTGTCACTATGGGTGAGTATGCGTCTCGCGATGGACAGGCATTGCACCCAAAGTATACCCTGGTTTCAGCAGTCATGGAAAAAAGGCCGGATGAACAGTCTTTGCTGCTAGCCCACTGCGATGGTTCAGTTAAAAAAAACTTGGTCCGACATGCATATTCGGTTTTTTGATGTTGCCCTCATGAGTGGGGGTGCTTGACTTCCTGCCACAATTCTCTGTCGTGTTATTTTTAAAAGAAACATTTGGATGCGATATAGTGATAAACACAGCTACTCAGACCAGCTGAGCTGCTGAAAAACAAGCAGGTGACCAATTTTTGTCATTGCATTTCCTCTTTAACGCTGCAGTTTATTAAGGCAAACCACAGACCTGCAAGCCCCTTCCAGCTGCTCTCCAAACGTACGCGTACAGGTCAGAAAGCAGTCATTCTTTCTCACTCCTGTGTTCTAGACCTGTTTCCCAAATCTGTTCTCAAGGACCCCCCCCCCTCGGATGGTCCATGTGGGAGGGTGCAAAAATATGGACTGCTGGGTGTCCCTTTGGACTGGGTTACCTTGTCAACACCCTCAGGTTCTGATTCAACAAAGTCTTGCAGCGTCCTTCAGAGCGCGGTGGAAACTTAGTGTGGGAGTGTTGAAAGTGGGCCCCCTTTCAGAGCAGATACGAGAAATGCAATTCCAGTGAAAAGTTTGGACACACCCTACCCATAGAAAGGTTCTTTTTGGGCTACAGAGATTCCCCCGCCGATCGCAGAAGTTACATTCCAGACCCATCAGCGATAGGTGAAAATCCGCAATATAGAAAGACCATATAGATAAACAATTTTTTAATAGTTTAAGCCACATGTGTCAAACTCAAGGCCCGTGGGCCACATCCGGCCCGGTGTAAAATTACACCTGGCCCGCAAGATCATTTTATATATCTTTTTTTTAATGGCCCGGCGATATGAAGCGTCGATAACATGCAAAGGACAAATCCCATAATGCAGCGCAACAGCTGCCTTACCGAACGATAGACTACCTGCGATCATTCCCGCATCAATTACGTCAGATCAATCAAGCGTCTGTTGATGTATACAACCCTAATTTAAGGTCAAAGCTAGCCCCTAACAATGGGCAAGAGAAAGGTTGATTCTGAAAACAGAGCCTTTCAAAACCGGGGAGAGGCTGAGTATATGTTTACTGACATTGCCGGTAAACCCGTGTGTCTTGTTTGTGGAGCTAATGTGGCTGAGATAGAATCTCCACAACATGGAACCTTATACCCCAAACATAAACGAACTTGTTACCAAGAAAAGGTGCCAAGCATCCAACTCTGACAGAATGGCATAAGAGCAAAGAAAATTGAATGTTTTGATTTGTTATTATTCTAACTTTCACTTAAAAGCACAATTTTTGTTTATATTTTCAGGTTTTTTGCAGCATATTCATATTTTGAATTTGTATAATTTTGGCAGGAGATATTTTTATGGAGAGCAAAATATTTTAAGTTAAAGTTTATTTATTTTGGAATAATATTGTATCTTGTCTGTTTTGATTCATATTTATGCACAAAAAAACGTTAATTTTAGTCTGTTCAATAAATGTTTATCCTGTTTGGCCCGCGACCTAAAGTGTACTTGGTCCCCTGTCCGATTGAGTTTGACACCCCTGATTTAAGCCTTAAAATACTCCTCCCACACGCTTTAATAATAATAATAATCATAATAATAATAATAATCCATACTTTATTGATCCCCTTGGGGAAATTGTCTTTACGCCTCCCTCAACTTGCTCTTTTTCATACAGTAAACTGCCCGCGAAGGGCAGCCACCTGTAGCGGTGCCCAGGGAGCTGGGGGTTGAGGGTCTTGCTCAAGGACCCGCAGACGTGCTGAGGCTGGGTTTGAACCGGCATCCTTCTGATTACAGGCACACAGGCTTAGCCCACTGAGCCACACGCTGTAAAAGCGATAAGCAAAAATCCGCGATATAGAAAGACCATATCGATAATTTAAAAAAAAAATAGTTTAAGCCTTAAATCTTAAGGCTTAAAACAATACGATAAGTTCCCAAAAAGTTTGCTCACAACAATCGGACCACAAGCAAGGTCCACGATATGCAGAGAACTGTGATGCGTCGGGGAAAAATCCACGATATAGCGGGGGATCACTGTATTCTATAAATTTTACAATAAAGACATCCAAACTATTAAATAACATATATGGAATTATGCACTGACCAAAATAGTGTTAAACAAAAAAAAATAATAATTTGTTGGGGGAGGCAGCTCTCTGGTTTGGGACTCAGGTGATTGCTGGTTCAAATACCTGGATCGCCAGAGTGATCCCACCATTGAGCCCTTGAGCAAAGCCCTTAATCCCAATTGCTCCAGGGACTGTTTCACCCTCTTGGGATACTTTGTCAGCCATCCTCAAGAAGTTCCCCCAAATATGCTGAGCATTCATTGGCCATTTCTGCTGGATTTAGGTGAGTTGGCCAGGTCATGTGACGCGACACTGTCACTGTCCTTTGTAGGCAGCTTGGTGCATCCAAACTTTTGATTTGCACTGTGGATCTACCCGTTTCTCAGTTAATGAAGTTGCCGCCGCTCCATTGTCTTTTTCCCTTGCCTTTTTATTGCTGGCCTTCATTTCCATCCATCATTTTTAAAGGGGATAGTGTGCAGCCCTGTGTGTTAGGTCAGAAGGCCCAGATTGGCAGAGTGATTTCACCACTGGACCCATGAAAAAGATCCTGTCGTGTCAGCATTGCCTGCTCGTGTGACCGCGAGTGTGACGGACTGCCATTCCTAAATGCCTCTTGCCTTGCTGCTTCCAGGTGGGATTTCTGCAGATCGTGTAGTGGATGAGCACACTGAAGATGGATGGATTGGATCGCACCATAGATTATCCAGAAAAAATGTCAATAGCACTTTACTTAAGGCCATGTTTTTAGCAATTTATAAACACATTCATGATCAGGGATGGATGGACATAACTGGTACGCAAGTACGCATTCACCTTTAAAAACGATCAGTTGTTTGTAAAAGCACAAATGCGTCCTTTTTTGTGTGCATTTGCGCTGTTATGACAAGAAAATACCTTGCATTTTAACCTGTACACCGCAAATGAAGTAGTTAGCATATAAAGATTAAAATGCATAATATTTTGTTTTCATATCAGCACAAATGCACATAAAATAAGTACACATTTATACTGTCACCACAATCGATTGTCTCACGTATCATTTTTAAAGGTGAAAGTGTACTTGCATACCAGTTATGTCCATTCTTGATTATAATGCATTCATAAAACGTTATAAACATTGCTTTAAGTATGTATAAAGGTATCTACAGTGAGGAACATAAGTATTTGAACACCCTGTGATTTTGCAAGATCTTCCACTTAGAAATCATGTAGGGGTCTGAAATCCACAATGTAGGTGCATTCCCACTGTGAGACAGCATTTTTTTAAAAAATTCAGGAAATCACATTGTATGATTTTTAAAGAATTTATTTGTATTATGTTCCTCACTGTATATAAAGGTATGTATATATAAAGGTAACTATGCCACATTATAGAGGAGTGTTTCATAAAGCATTCATAACGCATAATACATACGGCTATACTGTGTTATGCCTTTTGATAAATATTTATAGCCATGTTTATAATGCTTTATGAATGCATTATTACTTGTTACGAATGTGTTCATAAATTACTAAAAACATGGCCTTAAGTGCTACCAAAATGTTTTCGATTCACATTGGTCTACGGAACAGGAAGTTGCTTAGCAGGTTGCTGGTTCAAATCCCTTGAACAAGGCCCCTAACCTCCAATTACTCCAATGTCTGGTCGCTATCAAAAATGGTCCAAATAATTACAAAAATGTAAGTTTCCTGTATATAAAGGAATATCATCTGCTAAAGGAATAAAATGCAAAGGAAACCAAGAAATAAGGTGACAGTAATTTCTAGAATTGTCCAGTTCAGCCAAGAAGCCACGTGTTCATATGGTTACTTCCCAAACTTGCCTGTCCGGTCAGCTTGTTGTCCCACACCAACCAGCAGCATCAGTACAACGCTCCAATACGTCAGACCAGAAGGGCGTAAAGAAACAACCATGGAAACCATAACTTCAATATAGGTTATTTTAATAGGTGTTCAAGGAATAATAGTTGCGTCAACAGACAGTGTTATGACAGACAACTCTGTGAGGGGGGTGGCAAAGGAATCCCTTTCTAAAGCAGGGGGTCCGATAAGGCAAGGCTGCATTAACAACTGGGTTGTAACAATCAAGTCCATACATGTCATGATACAGTACTATTGACATAAATTAGACCAAGCACACATTGTACATACTTTCAAGAGGAAAGATCATTAGGTCTGGAGATACCCCTCAACAAGACTGTCATGACAACCTTTGTAGCCATGAGGGAACATTCTAGAGTAGGTCAAAGGTACGCTGTTTACCTCCAGGGTGCATATCATTTTTTTTTTTTAAGACTACCTGGATAAAACAATAAAAAGAGAGACAATAAATAAGCTAATTACAGAGGGTTTGGCAATGTTCTTTAAATTTCAGCGTCCCTGGTGTCAACCAGCAAAGAGTCGTTAACCTGTCTCATATTCTGATGCGGGGGGGAACCAGGACGCCATCATCTTAATCTTAAAAATAAAACTTTGTCTCCGGCATCAGCCGAGCAAATTCAGACGCTGTGTCGATGCAGTCCGATACAGCGTCTGTCCTGTAGCTATGACGGTGGAGTTTTTTTCCGGTTTTTTTTTTTTTGTAACAAACAGCGCACTTGTGCCAGCGGCCTAAATCTCCTCCATATAAATCCATCACATACAGAAAGAATCGTAATTAGAAAAATACAGGTACAAAATCCATTACATTCAAGAGACAGTGCTAGCAGAAAAGGGTTTATTAATCATCTAATTATATAGGAACTCTAGATTTATATAGGCATCTTATAATATAATATATATATATGTATGGGTGTGTGTGTGTGTATATATATATATATATATATATATATATATATATATATATATATATATATATATAGAAAAAAATGGAAGATGGTGTCTTATGTGAACAGGGATTTAAGATGTGTGGACATTTTCAGTTTCATGCCAGAATGTTCAAAATCAGCCTAAAATACTTTCATTCACATATAAATACAATAAGAATGAACCTCAATATTATTTAATATTTTTAAGGTATGTAGTAAGAGGAGCTGAATGGTCAGAGGATGTGCCGCGTATGTGGAGATGGAGGGAAATCAAATCTGTTTCTGAAGGGTGATATCGTTTTGGTTTGGGTTTTAAGGTGCAAATATTGTCTTTTTAAGAGGCAATTAAAGGTGCCGATGCGTCGTACACCGTTCCCAACATAGACTGAATTCAGAAGTAGCCCACTGGTATTGTACAGAATTAATTGTGCTAATAGTACCTCTGTTACCTGAAGATCTCAGTGCACCCGCCATTCTTGCTTGACTTTTTCCTTTCCTTGCTATGTTTTATTTAAAGACACGGTTTCTTTGGCAAATGTCTGCGAATCCACGCGCACTGCCTGGCGCCTCAGGGTTACGCGCATGCCACTTCCCGTCTTCCACCGTGACAAGACTGTTCCCATAGTGATAAGACGTTTTAGTTTGTGAAGCTTCACGTTTAGGGCCATACCTACAGACGGCATTATTTAAAGGAGGAGGCTTTGATGGAGGTGCACACGCCGCACACATTTCCCTCCAATTCCCAGTCAAATCGGACACACCCAAAATTCCCAGCCTAACTGATCGGATGCTGAAAGTAAATTTTTTCGCCTAGATATGGCTGACAGAAATTTGGGTCTGGGTCCTGTATTAACTAGGTTCAAACCCATCAAAATATTTTACCGCCATTTACCATAATCCCCTGTCCAATGTATCCCATGAAGTACAGGGCACAAGGATGGGACAGTCTATTATACAGCAGACACACAAACATATACACATTAAGGGCAATTTGGAGACCCTAAGCTGTATGTCTTCGAGACACACAAACAGGTATTACTATACAGGTTTATAATATTTACACACAATCTAATTCATAATAAAGTAATTGAGTATAAAAAGAGTGTTCCAGAAATTCAAACTTCATGATTTGACACCAAACTGGAGGGAGACGTGATCGACTTCAGTGCTCTCAATCTGCCTCGCTAATTTATTAAAAATTACGAAAAGCGGGTTCTCTCTGCCTTTCCAATTCCAAAAAAATCCCCCGAAAGCTAAAACACTAAAAAAAAAATAAAAAATGCATCTAGTTCTCAATTTTAGAGAAAGCGATTTAAAGCTCAAAACTGCAATTTTTTACACTTCTGATTCCGTCCTCTATATTCTACAGCTAGCGATAGTGATCGTTTGTTAGAAAACGTGATTTAGTTAATTAAAACAGTGCCTGTGTTGGTCAATCTGAAGAAAAAAAAAATCTGCTCATCTGCTACACTTTGTGTAGCCGGATGCTACGCAACTATAGAAAAAAATAGACCGTAAACTAGCCTTTTTTCTCCTTAAAGACTTAAAAATCGATCAGAATGTGGAAAGGTCTAGTCCCTTGGGCTAAATCAAACATCCCATCCTTCACACAAGAGAGTAGCACCTGGGAAAAACTACGAAGTGACTCTTGCCCGCAGGCTCTAGGCCCGAAGTACTTGTCAACCATAAGCCGGATTTCTTTATGGTTTCTTTAAGAACATACACGCTCTACAAAGCAGAGAAATGCAAACTACTCCCCTAGAAGCTGTGTCTCACTTCTCAGTGATTATCTGCTCCATAAGTCAGCATACATGTTATTTTTTTTTTTGTATATGAGCTTTTAACAACAGTCTTGATCCAGTAAACTGGCCCCAGATGAGGCATCTGAGGCAAGGAAACAAATAAAAAGCTGAAAAAAAAACAAACTGTGCCTCGACGCATAAAACTTTTTAAAAGACAGGCATAACAGTAAAAAAGTACCACTGATTAATTCACAGAAGACATTGTACAAGGAAAGTGTAGGTGAATGTGTGATCCCAAAATGGATTTACACCTCTTCAGGTGTTTGAACGAAAATAAAAGCAGGTAGCATAAAGACTGGAGAAGATTTCCCAGCTTAAGCTAGAGTATTGCTCTGCCTGGCAACTGGGTTTGATGGGGCAGCATCTGTGGCACAGCCACTGGTGATATTATTAAACCGTTGTGACCAAATGTGGGGGGGGGGGTCATGAAGCAACCTGGATTATGAGCAAGCGCACGTGTGTGTGTGTGTGTGTGTGTGTGTGGGGGGGGGGGGGGGTTTAGAGGCAGAACCGAAAGTGACAGTCGCAGCTACAGACCAGCGAAGACTTAGGGACACTGACGAAGATGCTGAAGGAGACTCCGCCCACCAAGGGGTGCCGGTGATGAATCGGCAAGGGCTAACAGAGGAACCCGCCCTGAAGACGCTGATAGCGTGACATCATGATAGGTATGTGATGCAATGGGCCGAAAAAAAAAAAGGAAAGAGGAGGAATGAATGGCTGGGAATTCCACTTCCAGGGTGTGAAAGAAAAAAATAACAAGATACAAGATACAATAACGCTGCACATATTTCAAATCAAAACTTTGTTGGGATGCTGACAGTAACTTTTACGAAGTGGACCGTTGCTTGGATGAAAAACCCTAACCTACGCAGAGTTAAAAAAAAAATTACAGGAAAGGAATCTTTAAATACGACCCTACTGAAAACAAAAAAAAAACACCTTCTCTACTTTAGCTAAAATTAGTGCAGTATCTCTGTTATTAAACTAAATGCCTTAGGAAACTAGTAGCACACATTTGGATCAGCTATTTAGATGCTACCCAAACTGCTGCAAGGTCAAGTATTGACATAAAATGCATTTTTATTCCTGTCATTCAAGTATTTCGACATCAACGTTTCGAATGAGGGAACTTGCATGAGAGGGGAATTTCCTTTTTTTTCCAGTCAGAAAACATGAAATGTTGCCATTAGCTTAGACGGACAGATGCCTCGAGGGAGTACGACAAAAGCATGGACCAGCCTTCCCAATATTTGTTATGCTAGTCCGTCATCTTTTAGCCCTGGTAGCTAAGCAGAGAATTAGCCAGCTTGTTTCCCATTAAAAAAGAAAAACAATGAGAAGTCAGGCTGCTTCAGACCTGAGCATGTCGATCGACGACTCCGGCCTTGTTGACCCTGTGGTCACTGAGTCTGTGACTTCGTGAAAGTGACACAAACGGAATGGAAAACATCTGCCTGTCTGATCACGTATGGTTCTGCATCACACACTTGTGGTAAAATGGGTGAGTGTGGTTTAACCAGCAAGCCATCTAGGGCCAGGCCAGTGCTGGCTTCAGACAGGAAGTTGTTTAGTCACCTAAGGGTCTAACACTCTTGGAAGAGGCAACACAGGGCAGCATCTGGTAACGTATCACGTGGCGTGAGCTCGCACAGCAGTAAATTACATCATAAATCAGGGAACCTTCTTAAATGCACTTTGTTTGCAAAACTTGACCTTTAAACGGCAGTCTTCTCTGGGGCAGCGATAGCCGCTAAAACCGCCGCGGCCTCCCCCAGCATGAGACCCGCGCTCTGAGACCGGCTCGGCTCCTTCCGTGAGGATCGCGGCAGCCGGGAGCTGCCAGAGGCCAGCGTTCGGTGGACTCCTTCCGCCGGAAGCTGAGCCCAGTTCAATCGGAGCGACCAGTGCCCACGGTTACCTTCCATCCTGAGACACAGTTAGGAGGTTAGGAAAGAGAAGCACGTGGGGTCCTTTTGTTCGGAGGGTTGGGCCTTCACTGATCCGCACAGGAGATGAGCACGGGAGTCTGCGCCATCTCCTTCGACTGGCCCTCTCCGGGCATGCCGACCGCGCGCTGGCTCCTGACACAACAGGACGGCACGTCAGACCAAGGACGCCACAGATGCCTGAGCCCTACCCAAAGAGCACCAAACAGCCCCCCCTACAGACAAGTATATATCGCTGCAGCCAGTCTGAAGTGGGAGGGCAATGTCGAGTAGGAGGGGTTTTACCACGAGGGGTAGGAGAGGTTCATGGTTAGGGTTATGGGATGGGGTTAGGGTATCAGATGATAACAGTTATAAGCCCCTCCCATATTTCCCCTCCTACTTGACATTTGGCTGCTGGCTGCAGTGAAATGCCTCTCGATACAGATGCTCTATCCCCACCCACAGATGATTTAGCCCCACCCACAGATGATCTAGCCCCACCCACACATGTCCTAAGCCCAAGCCACAGATGCCCTAGCCTGCCCACGGACGCCTGAATCCCACAATGACTGCCTGGCTAACCTGTGTGCATTCTCCATTGCTGCCACCTCGGCCAGCGCGGCCAGGCTGAAGAACGCCGGCAGGTCAGACACCGTGGCAGCCTCGCACGCCTCCTGTGGCTTAGGGTCCTCGTAGTACCCTGATTCGTTGCATAAAGTCTCCTGTGTTGATGGCTTTTCATCCTGGTCCTGTGTCAGCTCCTTGGCCTTGTCTTCCGCTGTCAGGGTGAGAAAAGGGGGAGCATTTAGAGGACTGAAGCGTCTCAGATGCAGTTTGGAAGATCTCATCGTAACACCAGTGTGGAGGTTGGGAGGATCTCAGTGTAACACCAGCCTGGAGGTTTGGAGGATCTCAGTGTAACACCA